AAGGACTGACAGTGGCTAGTGTGGGGTTGCTTGCATACTCAATTTCTTCAGAAGTATGTGGTATTTTAATTCTGAGTCCAGTGATTCGAACCGAAATAGTTTTTCGGCTCTCTAAAAGGAGTTGATAACTGCTGGCTTCTGCGTCGGCGAATTAAATCAGATTTACCACTTGTCCAAAAATCTCTCAACATCTTACAGCATTCCAAGCAGCAGAGAATATATTGGTGGGATAGGACGAAAAATATCAACTAGGTTAAAAGAACATGAACATTAGCAGTCGGCGAACATAATAATGAAACCGGACATTAAATCGGATATAAATATATAAGCAGGTATAGAGTAGAATACAAATCAGTTGCAGTTAAGGCCTGAACAAGCCAACAGGATTATTGGCAAAACGGCAGCAAGTTCATCAACAACCAACGAAAGAGGAATCCAGAAGATTTGTAAATCGAGTTGTAGTTGGTTTTGTTTTTACGATACAAGCTAAGTGCCTATTTCAATTACACTTTTTATTTTAAACGCCCTTTATCGTAATGAAGAATAAAGTTATGATGCAGAAAAAGTATGTTATGTCAAACTTCTTCAGTCACTCGTTTATTAAGCATACATTTCGCCATTTTCGAAAGCATATATCTATTCCCTTATCATTTTATTCCATATTAACATATTATTATCGTTATTTACAATTTTCAGAATACCGACAAATGTATAGATTAAAAAATTGGTCAACCTGCTTTCCATCAGCTTAGAAACATTTTTCGCATTGCATTTAGAATACAATTTAAACAGAAAAAAGTATTTTTTTTTAAATGACAAGACATAATGTTAATGAAAAAATGTATATAGACGGTTTCATGAAGGCCATGGCCGATAAGATCCTTGGTTTGATCTATCCATCTTTTGGGTGACCTTCCACGCGGCCGTCTTCCTTCTACCTTTCCTTCGACTATTAGTAGTTGCAGCGAATCCGTTCTTCTTGCAATATGGCCAATGAATGTTAGAAAGCTTCGATTTATCGTTTTTGACAGATTTAGTTCAGTATTTAGTTCTTGAAGGACGGACTCATTTGTACGGTGGGCCGTGCAGGGTATCTGTAACAGCCATCTGTACGCCCATATTTCAAAGGCATCTATCCGCCTTGCATCGCTCTTCTTGATCGTCCAGGTTTCAGCTCCATAAGTGACAATCGGGAACACAAGCGAATTCGACAATCTTAGTTTGGTGTTTTTAGTGATGGCTGTATCTCTCCAGATCTTACTTAACTTAGTTACGGCTGGTTGAGCTAGTGCAATTCTTCGCTTTATTTCACCTTCACATGCACCGCTATTGTCAATTAAGGATCCCAAGTACCCATCATCATCACCACATTGAACCCAGCTATGTTTTTTACGTGGGGTTGGTTCTGGTTTTGCCGGTCTACAATCATGACATTAGTTTTGTTGGGATTTAATTTCAATCCAAATTCTGCACTAGTTTCCTGAAGAAGGGGCATAATAAATTCCATTTCTATACATAGGAATTACACGTATTTGAAAATATATACATCAGGGTGTTCCAATATAAAAAAACATAACTGTAGCTCGTATAGAAAATATATTTAAAAAACAATCTGGGATGAATTCAAAGTAAAAAACTCTATCCATTTATCATCATTATTCCATTACTATACAGGAGGTTTAAAATTCAAATAGTAACTGAAATATCCCAAATGTCCATGTTATCCATATAGCTACCAGATATAGAAAGATCCTGTCTATGCTGATAATACCTAGAGGAATTTATAAAGAGACAATAAAGAAATATATTGAGATAGGCCATTAAATATGCGCATGCGCGGTCATTTAAACTCTCGTTTTCAACCAATAGGACCTCAACATCCAACATGGCCGATGACAGTTCATCAATTCGACAGGTTTTACTTTATATGTAGCATTTGTACGGCAAACCAGTAAAGTATGTAGAGATCGCTGTTTAGAAAGAAAATGGCGCGAAGCTGCAGGTTCTGGAATTCAGCGTCTCTCTCGGAAATCTCTGATCGTAATGGCTACTTTAACTTGTTCTTTTGTGAAAATATAAAAGATGAAACGGAAAAACCGCTTATCATAGGTAAAAGCGAAAATGCTTCATGTTTTAAAAGGACTCACACCTCTTCAATGGGTATCTAATAAAAAAGTGCGAATCATGGCAGGATGACTGCGCGAGTTTGACTCTATGAAGAGAGAAAAGGGGAAAGTAGTTTTTATCCTAAAGCATTATTCAGAATTTTAAGACGCTCTGCAGAAGTTATCTTATTGAAAGTTTTAAAACATGTTACCGATAACAATAAAAGAAGTGGGTTTTTAAAGCTGGATTTGAGTAGGTACAACATAGATGTAGAGGACTTTGTTAAAGAAGATAATATACCTCTTGCCGGACTGTTTCGTACCTTAAATAATAATTTTTTGGGTCTGGAACAATTTTCATTAATTAAAGAGACTGAAGAACCGACCATCATCGACTATATTGAAAAAGTACGACAAGTAAGTCCATATGCTCCCGATCCTGAAACGAGGCTGAATTACCTGATAGTGTCCAATATAGCAAACCTCCCCGAACCCATACATAAACTGTTTTTTAAATATGAATCGGAATTTTATAAAAATATAATAACGCGTATGAAACCATCAGCGAAATCCGACTATTTTAAAAATTAACAATTGCATTTCAAGGTAATGATATTATCTATACAATACATAAAAAGTTCTCATTTTTTACGTGTTTTACGTCGTTAATTTTAATTGATCTAGCAAAAGGTTTCAAGAAGTCCGTTATCCTTAGATATATATGTTATAAACATTATTGGTCATCAAGATAATTCAAATAATAACTTTAATATTCACAATACGGAAATTCATATTGTCAATTTTAAGAGTTCAAAAATTGTTCAGACTGATAACTAAAAATGTAGTGTCAATAATAATCAGAAAAACAATCAAATTATTAATTAAGGCACATATAAAAACTAATACAAAACTAATACAAAAATAGAAAAAAATGTATAAATTCTGTTCCAAGTTCCTATTCCTATTCCTAGTTATTCTGAGGAGTAGTGACAATTTTATAGGAAGAAACAAGCTGAAAAGTGTCGAAAGCAACTAGACATCAATAAAAGAAAGGAGGAGGGAAGGCAATTGAAGGACAGTAAGTTAAGAAGGTATATGAATCCAAAAAAAAAAACGACAGTAACACAGCAAGATCTAAAAAATGATAGTAATGGTATGTATGAACAAAATTTGAAAAAGATGAAGATAAACAAATGGGTTGTGACTTTTGTGACAAGAGGTGCCATAAGAAATGCACTGAATTCAATAGCATTTCATACGATATTTCTGCTTTAAAACAATGCAAGTGCAATCAATGCTAAAAAATGCAAAGCCAACTAGTTTTGGCGTATATTCGTAATATAATTTGTGTGTTCTGATTTCTATTTTATTTGACCTGAACACTGAACTTACTTAGTTTACCTACCTAACCAGTGTTTCCTTTATTGGTGGTCAAAACCCAATCTCTAAAATGGTCGCAAACCAACTAAAATGCAATTTTTAAAAATTAAATTAATTGGCTTATTTATTGAAAAATAATAGCTTACACAAATAACTTACATAACGAATATTGTCAATAGATGGATTGTTCACAGGGATAGACATATACGCTATATAGATTTTATAGACTGATGCAAATTATGGAATATTATGAAAGAAACGGAAGTATACAAAACACTTAAAAAGAGCATTAGAAAGTATACACATTGACATCATAATTGGAATAGATATGGGCGGAAAGTTAACTAGAGATATATCAATACACAGAGAGTTATACAGAACAAGACCAAAGTTAGAATCAAATACCATCTTGAATTCTATTTTGTATGCCGATGACGTAGTACTCTTAGCGTAAACAAAAGGCGACCTACACAAAGAAAAATATGTACATTCTACAAACGATGTGTCAAAAATACGACATGAAAACATCAGCAATCAAAACTAAAACCATGGCTGTCTGGGGTAAATTCAAGTATTGTATTGTAATTAAATATTTAATATAAATTCACGCATATGCGAGGAACTATCAGTGAAACATTAAAGAATAAATCAAGAAAAGATACACAAATAAAATTTTACAAGGCGATAGCCGTACCAAACCTCTTTTATGATAGTGAAACGTGGGCAACAACGAAAAAAGAGGCACAAGAAATGGAATTTCTAAGAAGAATGAAAGTTTGCACAAAAGACTAGAAAATCGATAAAACTGATAAGAATGAAATTGTATATCTTGAATATGAACGAGAAAATAAAGGAAAATTAAAGTAGGCGGAAGTCAGATTTTAACAATGCCATGGAAGAAAGGATATCCATAGACCACGGAAAAGATGGTTATCGTAACATACTTACAAGGTGCCTAAAAGTTGAAGTGAAAAAGAAAATTACAAATAATATCCAACTTTAACATTTGTCTAATCCTACCAAATTTATCACATGTCAAAGTTAAAACTTACATTGACTACTCGGAAACCAGCGCATTAATGTGCGTTGCGTCCACTTGACAATAATACGTAAATTAAAAAGAAAATCGGTGTCGGTGCCGGAGATTGTCGAAAAGACATTTATTTAATTAACTAATTAAAACGTTGTTTAATAATAATTTAATCTCGGGGCGAATTAACTGCAAAGGGAAATCAACGGAATGAGTAGCAATAGCGCACACTTTATCCAAACCTAATTTCTTTAGTATTGACACCAAATTGAAGCTTTTTGCACCACTCCGAAATTTATTGCCGGGACCTTATTAGCGCTGCCGGGTTATTTGCCGCTTGGGCCACGCTCCCCCCGTTTCACTTTCGACTCCATGATGGCTCTTTGACTGGTTTTATTGGCCGACGGCGAAACAGACTCCGCCTTTTAAAACGCCCACGAAGCGTAAAACGTACCGGCCTCATTTCAGTTGATCGACAACGGGCGATGGAGTCGGATCAGTGTTCCGACCAAGACGTTAATACTATTTTGCATTACGGCACCGGCGGTGGTGGTAGTTTGGATGTGAAACCCATGAGAATGGTGGTTAGTCCTAGTTCCGGTCCCCGTCACACCATTGACAATATATTAGGATTAGTGAGGAAGTCGGAACAGGAGAGTGATTCGGAAACGATCAGGGCGCACTCGCCGGGTATTATGGAGGGCATCGGTAAGCTGAGGACCTCCTTTTATCGTCTTCGCGCTAATCGCCGCGCGTTTCCGCCGATCGCACCGACATTTTGCTCTCGAATTTCTCCTGCCAAGCCCGTTCGCGACGGTGTTAGTTCTCCTGCTACGTTACCTGTTGTAGAAATAACAATATATAAGACGCGCACAAATAGAGCAAACGAAGACTAAAGAACATTAACATTCGGTCGCCTTCGCAGCTCATTGGTTTCGAATCTCGTTTGTTTCTTCCGCTTTCAGTACTACTTTATCAAGGAACTCCTAAGATATTAAGTTACATTAGTTCAAATAAAATGTGGTATAAGATCGTAATAGTACAGACTCATCCATATATATTAATTATTAATTAATTAATTAATTAATTTCATATTTTCCTTTAATCAAAATTTTTATATTACACACATGCAAACAATTGTTGCCAGTATGAAGCATAATATATATTAAATTTCATGCTCGCACGGTTATTGATATTATATAATATATTATGCTTCATGCTTAAAATTAAATTAAAATATAATATATATAATACTTAATGCTGGCATGTTATTAATTAAAGGTGCATCAATTGTATTTCCATCGAAATCTCAACTTAACAACTATCATGGGAAAATGGACCTGGAAAACTTTCTTCGTTGGTTAGAAAATCAGCTGTTGAAGGATTTGAGTGAACCAGTTATCATTGTTATCGACAATACATCTTCAAGTTGGCCATCAACTTTGGTGGTTTTAACATTTACATGGTCTTGCCGCGTGCCAATAGAATACAGAGAATAGAAAAATCCAACAATTTTCGACCAAAAAGTCGGCAAATATCTTCTCATTTTTTAGAGTAGCGCTACCAATTGGATCGCCAGGGGCGAAATTACAATTCTAATTAAGTTTTTTAGCGTCATCGATGACGTGAAAGTTTATTTAGCATGAGCTATAAGTATGTATGGTTATACGGAAATAGTATATTATACAAGTGCGATAAACGACATTTGAGTCATGAGTTTATTTGGCACGAGCGGAGCGAGTGTTTACCAAACGTATTGCATAATATACTTTTTCTGCGAACGTTAGTTTTGAGCACATTTTTGCAAAACAACACGAAACCCGTGCGGTAGTATCCCGGAAATGTCCGAAGCGGATCGGATCCGTAGGACAAGAAATTGACGTGGTAAAGTGACGGTTTACGCACGCTAGATCGGTGTATTTTACAGAAGGGAGTATAAAATGGCATATTATGCAACAAGTGCGGTAAACGCCATTTGACGCACGAGTTTATTTGGCACGAGTGGAGAGCAGCGGAGCGAGTGTTAAATAAACGAGTAACTTGACCGTCTCCGAAAATATCCGATTTCTCCCAAACCTGTGCGGTACATTATTTTGCAATTTTGAATTTAGATTCAATGACCGATTTTTAAAAAGCCGATATTCAATTTCTGCGATTAAATCACTTATAGGTCTATTCCTCGATATCGGGTTGCTTGCGCTTGCAATGATTATATCGCCTTCTGATGCAATTTTAAATAAAAAATTAATAGAAAAATCAACTAATTTGTAGAGTAATCTTGCGAAAATAATTGGTTTGTTCAATGTGAACAAAACCGCGAATATTTTATCGAACTCCGAACAAATTCTTGCGAATTTCTTCGTACGAATCCGTTCGCTGTATTTGTACGCGTCTTAATGTGACAATCTCAGAATACTTTACTAAACCTTTAAATCTAAAGCATATAAAACATCGCCAACGGTGGGAGGCTAAGTCCTTCTCCAATAAGGCTGATACGCATATTTCACACAACATATAATGATTTCTTAAATTTCAGGCTTCACAGATTTCTAATTGGATTTACGGCATTGACCGATTTTGAAAATTGATTTTTAGATTATGTGGATTTTTTTTTATTCCGTTGCAATGAAAAAAACGATTAAAGTAAAAAATACACTAAAAACCTCTTTTCAAAAAGTGAGAACTTGTATTATTGGTTTTATTTTATTTTTTCAAAAATTTCTTTCTTAATTATTCCCTCTCTCTTTAACTTTAATTAAATAAATTAAAAGCCGAAGAGAAAAAAAGCACCATTTTTTTTTTCAAGTGAAAGTTATCTATTTCTTTTGATCTGATCATATGCTTTTTATCGTATAACTTTAAAAATGCCAAGTGAGTTGGTTCCAACCGGAAATCACTAAAGGAACGGAGAATATCCAGGAATTATTTTCCGTTGAGTGTATCCTTCAAAAAATCGAAATCAATCTTATGTAGCACTCTTGGGGTCACCAACTGGTCTTCAAAATTGGCTATGGCGCAATCAAACATCACATCTTAGACCTAATCTACAAATTAAGTTAAAAATGTGAATTAAACACTAATTACTATTTTTTATATAAATTTCTCCATTATATAAAGATGATTTACTCATTACAAACTGCTCAAAACTCACGAAGATTTCACAGATCTCACAAAGCTGGTACACCAGATATTACGTTGGATTTACCCCTCGGATTTATTTAATGTCGTGTAGTGTCTTGCTACAAACACTTTCTTCCACTTGCCTCCATATAACTGTATAGGATTTACTAGTCCGCAATATTATGAATTTTGACATTTGTCAATTCAGAGGACACGACACAGTGTATGTATTCGCTCCGGTCGTGCCAATACAAAGCTCAAGTGCCAAATGTGCTGCGTAATATACTTTTCCCTTTCTGGCGATAGATACAACTCTCCTTATCGCCGGCTGTTGTATATGTTTTCTAATGCGGGCGTACTTTTGTACTCGTTGGAAAGCCCTTCAAATGATCTCATAAGAGAAGTCGAGAGGATTGCAATTTGGAGATCGTGTTCTGAAATATAGGGACAAATTAAACTATTTCCGATACTTAATATTCCTGTCCATATCAACCGGTTGCTAAACTGTTATTAGTGTCGAAATGGCCTGATTGTGCATGGATTTTCTTGTTCCCAAACATGTAGGTTGTGGCAGTTCACTAGTTCGTCGCCTAAAAAGAATGCAAAGAATAAGAATTCATGATCTGTAGTATCTATCTGATAAGGGCTTGGCACGATTTCGTGTAAAATCTTTCAGGCAGATGAATAGAAAGTTATTTCTCGAGTAATGTTGATTTCAACATTTTGGTCTATAATATTTAAACTTTGCTCATCTATTCTTCGAGTGTGCGTTTATTGTCCGTTTTCTCCAGCCCAACCTCAACAGTTGATTTTTGATTTTAATATTAAACAAATTAGAACAAAATGAACATACACACATTGATACAAAAAAACAGCTAATTTTAAAATATTTTTTACTCACAGCTTAGTGTTTTTATGCAACAAAATTTAAAGAAAAGTATTTTAACATTCAAGTATGGTATATTTACAAAAGGCGTATTAAATCTACTGTTTAATTTGACACGATCATTCCAATTAAATGTGATTTTACTATGAACCTAGTAAATGTTACCAATTATAGTAACGAATCGGGTCACGTGTTTGCTGGCCGCAACATGTGTCTATTTCGCTTGCTGAATTAATTTTCCCAATTTTATAGCGGTGCATAGATTAATAAAAGTAAATAGACACGAATCGGAAGTTTGGTTAGGGTTATAACAAAAAAGCATGATAATTTTTTATTATTTATTCTTATTCAAACAAAAGTAAGTCTACATTTGAATTGAAACTATTCAAAATATAATGACACAATATTATTTTAAATTCTTAAAAAAACAATTTAAACATGCTATAATTTTAAAACGTGAAGGCGTCATTGTAAATTATAAGGATTTTTTTGTGTTAACGCTCTCCTTAGAGTAGAAAGTTCGATTTTTTAGTGGTTGTAAAAAATAATGTTTTCGTTGGAATGAAATTAATTAATGTCAGCATATGTTTACAGTTTAGTGATAGATAAAATATAAATAAAATAAAAAATAAAAAAATGAAATTTAACCGACTTTTTAAATCGTTTAACTTAGAATAAAACGAACAGATTTTTTAAAATATCTAACTGCCTTTACTTCGGTTTTTGTACTAAAAAGAAAGAAAATTATTAAGAATGTTTAAGTGTGATCTTTTACCATATATAATACATATATACTATAATGCTTTCTTGCTTATAAACAACAAGAAAAAGGCTACAAAAACTTGAGGACACTGAAAATACAAACGGCGGTCACTACTAACAACGCAACTTTCGAGAAGTAGCACGCAGACGCTAATGGCAGCTGTATCGCTTTTTCTATTGGCCGGTAAAAGTCACAATCTTTTAATAATTTATAAATAAATATCAAAATATTTACAAACGTACATAAAATGTTATATTTTGATTGTAGAAAATAATTGATTTATAACAAAGTTCATTATGCATTTTTAAACGCATTATTTATCTGAGTGCGGCAATCGTTGACTAATTATTAACAGTTTTCATATGTTAAATACGGAACATTATAGCAACAGCATAAATGGAAAAGAATTTCGATTTGACTTGTTTTTCAGTAAATTATTTATTAATTACTTATACCGTATGCCATGGCAAAGGTTTAATTTTCTACACATGAAAACGTCATTGCAATATTAAATCAGCATGGTAGAACTCAGAAACAATTCTACGTATATAAATCATGAAAAGTACTCCATAAAATACTGTAAATATACGTAACATTAGTTTCACTTAATGGTGTAATTATAACATTACAACATGTTTACACTTTATAATATATATTTAATGCAATGGATCGACTTCCCTCCTCCTCCACCCTAGCGGTAAATTTATATTTTAAAATTTACTATGGAAAAGAAAGTCCTTGTGTCATAAGTCACATATTTCATGTAAATACGAAATAAATCATTGTTTTAAGTTCATAAGTTAATATCATATTTAATATATTACTTTCATTTGAATTTAATTGTCCTAATTTCGTATCTAATTTTGATTTTAGATATCCCTGTAGGAAAAGTTCCAGAGATCGGAGATCTTGCAGGCCATTTCTATTGATCCCCTTTTA